GACTTCTATAGATGGACCAACCCGAGAGAGGCTACCGAGAGTAAAGTAGATTCTATCTTAGGAAATCATACTTGGAACTGGATGTTCTTCCTCCAGGTTGTAAAACCTCGGGATCCTAAGTGGATCACTAGTCGGAAGATAAAACCGATTGGTTATATTGAAGTAAAATGGCCAGGCTTGTACTTTTAGATTACATGCGACGCGAGTGCCACGATTACTTCGATATATGTTCTCTTGTGATGAGAATGGAATCCATTGGAATGATACTTGCCATAGCCGTCTAACGAGACTTGGAAGTTCATCGAAATGGATGTATCGCTTTCTTAGTAGACATGGAACGACCTGAGGGTTTGTGGTTCCACGATGTGAAAAGAAAGTGTGTAATTGGTGAGATCATTGTATGGTTTGAAACAATTGCCTTAGTATTTGGCATGGATCATGCAATGATGACCAACGAGTTTAGCATAAATAAAAGTGACAAGTGGGTCTACGTATTGCGTACGATAGACGGTGATATCACTGTTTGTTTATACACGATAAACTCATCGTGGGTAGTAACGATCAAATGATCAATTCTACCAGAAACATGTTAAATTTGAGATTTGACATGAGAGGTGTGAGTTTGGCAGATTTAATCTTCGAGATTAAAATCGTGAGAAGATCGTATGGTCTCGTGGTTAGCCAATCTCACCGAGTTGATTGAATCCTTGCAAGGATGATAATCAAGTGGCTTGGACACCGTTAGATACTAACGTACAACTAGCCTATAATCACGAAAATTGTATTTCTCACTGAGAATACATACAGATTATTGGTAGTATAATTGTATCAAATGGGTTGTACTAAGCCGGATATTGCCTTAGCGGTTAACAAACTCGGTAGACATACGAGTAACCCTAGTGTTACGCACTAGAAGGCAATAGTGAGAGTTATGAGATACTCAAGGTATGCTCGTGACTTTGGACTGCACTACGTGGGATATCTAGTTGCACTTGGAAAGTGTAGCACGGATATCAAAGGACGCTAAGTCCATTAAAGGCTATGTGTTTACGTAGGCCAGTGCAGTTGGTTATATGGAAATTCTCGAAATGATTTGTGATAGCTAAGATCCGACGGGATCTAAGCTGAGAGCCTTAGACTCGTGTCGCGAACGAGTAGGCCGAATGGCTATGCCATTTTTTCGGGAATGTTCCTAGAGATAAACTCGTACCTCCAATTTGTGTGCATTGCAATAGTCAAGCCAAAATTGGTTAAGTACAGAGTTAGATATGGAATGGTAAGTCTAGACTTATAAGTCGTAGACATAATACCATTAAACAATTTCTCACAACGAGGGTTATCTCTATTGACTACGTGATGTCAAAAGATAACGTAGCGGTCGCTAACTCACTAACCCGAGGGTAAGCAAATGGTTGTTGAGAAATTGGAACGAGGAATGGGTCTAAAGCCCTTGGACTAAAAGTTCTATAGTGGATATCCAACCTAGCTGATACCTAGGTTCAATGGGATAACTAAATTATGGAACGGAGCGTGTCACTGTGGGGGTCTCGGACTCCCTACCACTCCTTGTTAGAAACAGTGACTCCCGCACGAGGCTAGCATGTTGATGCTTTAATGATTCTTGAGTATGCGGGATACTCGAGAAAGAATCGCCTATGTAAGAGAGAAGTGAGGGTCGCTTCAAAGGAGAATTGTTGGGCACAATTCTTTAGAAACTCTCGCAGAACCAGGAACGGTGACCCACGACCAAAATGGGCACACTCATGAGAACAGAGCATGGTTGGGAGGTTCCTGTGTGAGATATGTCATCGTCTACACAAACGACAGTCGGTTCAAAGACATCGCAGTCTACCGTACAGCCAGTAGAGTAAACATGTCTTCACAAGGGAAGGTTCAAAGGGTATATTGACTCCCTACCTATCCTATGCAGGGATCGACCGTTTGAACACAGTTGTTTCCGATTTCAAAATAACCTGAAAATCAATTTTTCATTCATGTGGGGGATTGTTGGAAAAATAGCATTAAAATGACATTTTAAGTGGCTATTTTGTGGTACAATTATTGGTGGGGTCCACTTCCGATTTAGGTCGGGTCAAAGTGGATTCGGGTTCTTCGTAGTGAGACGAAGAGATTGATATATTGTATGCTCAAAATGGATAATGGGTGAATGAGATATTGATTCTCAAAGTGGACCCATTGAGTTGGAAAAATGAAGGGAAAAGTGAGCTTTGTCCCACATTGGTTTGGAAAGAGGATTTGACCCCCCTTTTATACAAGAGCTCTTTTGGAGCTTGTAGAATTGTATAGCATAGAGGCTCTCTCGCGCTGGGGGGGGGGGGGGTGTAAATCAAATTGCAACTAGAAACGAGATCGAAAAGGCTTGATTCAAGCTCGAGCTCGTGTGCGCCGGCGCTTGCGGGCACGAATGTCGTCCGGAAATTGGCTGGCCTTGCGGGCTAAGTTCGGTGTCATTTTTCCAAAGTCACTTAAATGCTGCACGAAAGAGAGCAGCTCGCTGGAACCGAACTCTCGTGTGAGTTCAGGGCCTTGAGAGGCCGAAAGTAACACCACACGAACCATGGTTCGACCTTGGTCGAAAGGAGGCACCAGCCGTGGTTCAGCCTTGGCCGAAAGGAGCTAGCACGAGAGTTGTGCTTATGTTCGGTTTCTGCAACCCGTCTAGTGTGAGATTAAATTCATCACTTGCGGAATTAATTTTTAATTAATTCCAACTTTAAATCTGAATTTAACTCTATGATAATGGGGCTGGCTGTTTCAGGTGTTACCAAGACTGATTTAATATCAGTTTTAATGCCATAATGATGCTATTGAATCCTTCATACCCTATATAAGAAGGGAGTAGGAAAACAGAATTTAAGCAATGGAGTGAACAAGCACACAACACACGAAATTTTGTTTTCAAGCTTCAAAATCCTTCTGCTTCTACTCCTTTCTTAAGCCTAACTGTGTTCAAGGCTTTGCTCTAGTTCGCCGGGTTCGGTCGTTTGGGTGCTTAAACGTCGAACCGTAGCGCGTTTTATCCTGGGAAACCTAGGCCACGACGCTCCTAGCACTTTTGGGAGGTGGCAAATAAGGTTTTAAGGAAAGAGTGGTCTCTTGACTCACGAGCCATCTTTTCCTTCTTTCGGTTTTGGATTATGCTTCTAAGCAAAAATCCTCTCCTTTTGATATAGTTTGGTTGGAATTATAATCTGTGGATTATAAGTTCCATTTGGTTGATATGTATATATCTTTTCCGTAGATATTCATGCATATAAGCATGGTGATATATATATATATATCAAATAATATTTTATATACTTGTGTGTGTATATATAAATATTATTTTACGATATTAAATCGATTTTTTGTTCATTATCACCAACATTTTTTAGGTATCACTGTTATCAATTTAAAATTAGTTAAAATTTTCTCGATTTAATCTTATGAGTTTTTTAACAATATGCATGCACATCGATCTTGATTAGGTGTTGTTTGTATTTTCATAGATCTAAGCTCTGCAAACAATAATTCCTAAGCAAGCATGTAGAAGATAACGAAGGCAGCTCTGTCATCTAAGAGATTAGGTTACGATTTGACCTTTATTTTCTGAATTTTGTTTCCTTTTTATGCCTATAATGGTAGAGTTTGTAATTTGCTTCATTGCACTGTGTAAGGCAATACTTAGAAAAATTATCATTGAATTTTTTCTTTGGCTGGGCTTTAGATGATACAATATGTTTGGTTTTAGCCTATTTGAATTGAATAGAATAGTTTTCAGTAATTGTGCTCATTTTAGACTATTTTACTGTTTTTGGGTTTTGAGATTTGCAGTGGAACTGATTGTGGGATGAATACAAAATAAAAATAATTTATGTGGGATTCATTGCTTATTTGAATTTTTTGGGTTGCATTCACTTCCAATTCACATAATTTTGCATGATATATTTGGTTGGCTGTATTGCTTGAGATTGTGCTAAGTATTGCCAATAGTTATTCATTCACAGTGTTTTAAAATGAGTTCAACTCTTCTAAACAATCTAAATTAATTGCTTTGGGTTGCAATCTTTTTTACTTAATCCCATTGACATTACTTAATCTGATTTTTTAGAAGATTCACCATTCTTTAGTACCTAATATTCTCATGTTAATGTTCCACATTTTACAAAACTTGAGAACTTTTTACTAACCTCTTAGTGTAATATACTTTCAATTACTTTAGGTTAAGAGATTGGTTTTGTACTTAATTTGATGGACTTTTTTAGACTTTGTTTATATTTTTCGGTTTACAACTTTTACTTGTTATGCAACATAAGATTTCTTTAAAAAATGTGCTAAGCAATCTAAATTAATTGCTTTGGGATCCAAATATTTTTTTACTCAAATGGAATTCGATGTGTTTGAGTTAATTGTATATTGCAACATTAATTTTAAACTATTAATTCAGTATTATTTTTATCAATGAATTCATTTGTCCGTTTATCTACACTTGTTTTGTGTAAACAGGTTTTCAAGAATGTATTTATAATAGTCAATTTATGCTTGGTATTCTTCAGAAGTAAGGGATTTTATGAAGTAAGGGTGAGTAGATTTATTATTTAGTTATTTAGTGCAATATATTTCCAAATACTTAACTTCCAAAGATTGGTTTATAACTTATATTGATGGTTGTGGTGTTCTGGACATTTATATTTTCACAGGGAAATCAACATGGACATAATGTGCATTGGACTGGTACAAATAGAGTTTGAAAAGTTTTCTAAGGTTAGTATCCTAACAGTAAAAATAGCTTTCATAAGTGATATAGTTGAAACCTAGCATAGTTATCTTGGATGAAGTTAGATATATTTTTCAGGCTATATCTACTTAGTTTTAACACTTTCTCAGGGGATTTATTTTTTTGCTTTGTTGTTTCATGTTACAAAATAGGAGAAGTATATTATTTAGGCAATTAACTTTTACAAAACTACATATACATAGTGTTCCTTCCTTGCCAATACTTGTAACAGATGTCTTCATTCTAATATCTTGTTCCCTGATCATCCTTGTGTGAAAATCACCTGAAATAAAAATTAAGAAAACTGAAAGACATGTTCTAATAGCAGTAGTTAATATAAAATTGTGATAAACAGTTATACAATATTATCAAAAAAGCAATCTAACCTTAGAAAATAATATAAAAACAACAGTTTCATAAGTAGGACAACACATGATTATAAAAATACATAATACTAAAATGTCTAGATCATAAAAGGGGAACAACAGTACTACATTTTTTCCTTCTTGATGTTGGATTCCTTCAACTTCTTCCTACTTTTGGATGATGAAAACTCATCCAAAAGTGACCTTTTAATAGTTCTAGAATTGTCAGCAGTGTCATCCACTTCCTTTTGAGAGGGATGCACAGATGCAGGACTATTAACCTCCTCTCCCATCGAGTCTTTTTGTTATTAACAAAAGGATTATCAATTTTAAACAGCCACATAATGAAAAAAAAAAAAAAAAAAAAAAAAAAAAAAAAAAAAAAAAAACTAAACTAAACTTATTAAGACGTTTAGTTTGAAATTCTTACTTCAGAATTTGCATTAGTGTTAGTTTCCTCCTCAATCATTCTTGACATTAAATCCTGCTCTTGATGCTCGACAAATCTGTCACTATAGGTTTTCAGCAATTGTTCTTCCTTGACCAGCCTCAACACATTGAATGGATAATTATTACCCCTCTTTAGAGCCTGTTTAAAACCTATTTTAAACAACATTTTCATTCCCACAATAGCATCCAACTCAGGTGGTACTTCAACATCAACCTGTTTATGTAGTTTGTAAATTAATAACTTCTTAACAACATTACACCCTCTAGAATAAAGTTTGTATAGGATTAAAAAAAAATTACCTCCTTGTATTTTTGATACAAAATCGAAGCAGGGATACCCACAAGTTCTGCCACTTCTCTATCCCAAAGTAATAGTGGAACATCTCCACTCTTGTCTAGAGCAATTACAACCACTTTATACCTAACTGTACCCTGAGTATAAGGCTTGTGACACTTAGTACAAATGAGTGATCCTCCATCTTCTTTAAGTTTCTTATTACAGTCAGGTGACATGCATGATACATAGTACCACCCATCCTCACAATCTAACCCCAAAATCTCTGCAGCCACATAGTATTCCCCATCCTATAATATACACATAGATTTATTAACAGTTATATAAATTAACCGAAGAAGTGAGATATAATTTAAGTACGAGCAGCTAGCCAAGTTTTTTGATTACCTCTTGAATCTTCTTAAGATCATAGCAGTTAGTGACAATGACAGAAGCATTTTTAAAGTCACTAATACCTGTAGAGTGTGAGTGCAGAGTGTCAGTACTAAGACTTCTCATTAGAGTATTTTCAAATTTCAACCTTCATAAAAATTGATGCAGAATAAGAATTATTATAAATCTTTATACTAACATTTATTTTTCAGAAACTGGCATGTGATGAAAATAATCTCTGATGCCCAAACTTGACTAAACTCATAAAATATTTGTGACTAAATTGCCTATATGCCTTACTTCTTTTGCAACATACTTAACATTTTTTTTAAAACAAATGACATGTGATGAAAATAGACTCTAATGCACATACTTGACTAAAAGCATACAACATTTGGGTCTAAACAACCTATTTGGCTTATTTCCTTTGCAGTATAGAGCCATCTAATTTTTTTTTTTTCTAACTAATTGGTTATAGTTGTTACAGAATTACAGTGTATAGCCTGTTAGTAAATTTTTTTCCCAGATAATGGCATGTGATGAAAATAGACTCTGATGCCAGTACTTGACTACAATGCCTCTATTGCTTCTTTTTTTTTTTTGTTTTTTTTTTTTTTTTGTTTTGCAGTATAGAGCTTTTTAAAAAAAATCCTAACTAATTGCTTTTAACGGTTACATTATTAAAGTATACAGCCTGTTAGTAACATTTTTCTTTTCAGAAAATGACATGTGATGAAAATAGACTCTGATGCCAAAAATTTACTAAATTTATAAAACATTTAAGCAAATGCCTCTATTGCTTATTTCTTTTGCAGTATAGAGCTTTCTAAATTTTTTTTCTAACTAATTGCTTGTAACTGTTACAGTATTACAGTATAAATAGACTGTTAGTAACATTTTTCTTTTCAGAAAATGGCATGTGATGAAAATAGACTCTGATGCCAAAAATTTACTGAATTTATAAAACATTTGTGTCAAAAATCCTATTTGGCTTATTTCTTTTGCAGTATAGACCTATCTAAAATGTTTGTTATCTAAAATGTTTATTACAGTAGATTACAGTATATCTAAAATTTAGATAAAAATATGTTTTTTATATAAAATCTATATTACAGTATAGAGCCTTCTAAAATGTTTTTTATTTGACCAATTACAGTAGATGAATATCAATAATAGGACTTAAATTAGGTCTACTTACTTTGACTTGAACTCTAGGAATTCCTCAAAATCCTCATTGAACCAAAGCTTGGTAGCATCATATGAGCTGGTGATTCTCACCTCACCTTAAAAAAAAAAAAAATCATACATATATTAGTCTCACATCTGGACTAAGTAATAAACATTAGACTGAACAGTATAGAGAAACTCACCACTAACCACTTTAGCCCGACAGCACTGAATGACTACAATAAGTGGTTCTTTCGAATCACTATTGTAATAAGGCATAAGAGAAGATACATGTCCATTCCACAGTGTACATGTCAGGGTGTTCTCACTGACATCCAATCAATAAAAAAAAATTGTAGTAAATACTAAATTCAGTAATCAGTTCAAATTGAATCAAAGTAGATTTTTGTAAAACTTACGCATTGTCTTCAATTTGAAAGTCAATAAGTCTTGTTGCCTTTCCACCTATAATCTTATCCATAGGATTATAGATCTCAATGAGCCGACCAATAACATCTGCTAATTTAGAAATAAATACAGTAAGATGTTAGCAGTTAAGTTTATTAAGATAGTAAAAAACTTAACAAAAGTACAGATAGTACCAATAAGTTCCTTGTCATTAACATCGGCAGGATCTTCCAAAGAAATGAAACTCTTTAAGCGAAACATTTTTAAAGGAAAGCCTATAGAATGTATCTCCTTCACTTGTGTTTTATAGTTGAATTTTATCATGAACTCATGTTGTGTAATCTTGTAGACATAGTAATTTGTGGCAGCCATGAAGTTTTTAATTTCAAACAGTTTGCCCTCTTGTAATATTTCTCTATATTTGACAATATCTTTTTTCAGAATGGTGGCATGAATGTAGTCTCCCTACCAATAAAAAAAAAAAACATAATTTAGGAGGATTTGAAATAGGCTTAGATTAGTAGATAACATTAATATGATAGCATTGAAAAAAAAAATAACAGTACCTCTTCATCATGGAACAACACTTCCATACTCTTACTGGTCTGACCCTCTCCCCTTTTCTCAAGCACTTCGTATACCCGTACTGCTCTCACCTGATTGCCCTTAGCTGGTGTTCAGGTTTGATGTTTTTCACAGCAATGAACATTGAAGGCATTTTGTTCAACCCAAACTGATTTGAAATGGTAGGACAGTAAACTGATTTTCAGAAGGGTTTTTTGCATCAAGAAGCCGATTATTTATAGAGTGTGAAGATTTGAACATTGCAAGGATATGACCAGGAGTCACTTTATGGGAAATATAAGATCTCATTCAATGTTTAAGATGCAGATTTAAACTCTACGTATTCTCTATGTGTGTGTGTGTGTGTGTATATATATATATATATATATATATATATATATATATATATATATATATATATATATATATATATACATACTGCATGCATCTCTTTAGTTAGGCTTTTGTTATCCGATGATGATAATGATTTAGTTTAGACTACCAAGAGTTCTACATTAAATGAACTCCTTGCGAAGCAAGGATTGTATGCTCGTTGAATACGAATGGTTTTGTATATCAAAACGGCTAGGCAGATTCCCAATGTATAATGTCATTACACGTGCAAAAAAATAGCTGGATATTTATCTATGATACAATATCAAAACGTCGTAGTATCAAATGGGCGGGAAAAAGTATTGCCAAAAACTTCTTGCTTTATTATAGAGTTAGATACTTGGTAAATAAATATATAGCATTATTTTGTATTATAACGTTGATATTTAATTAAAAATAATGCACAAAAAAAAGATAATAGACAATGTAGTGAATATAATTAATTGATTCATTTGAATGTAAATAATTTTTTCAATTGGAGAAAATAAAGACAATATAACTAATGAAATTATTTCTCTTATTTTTTTTTATTTTTTTTTGAAATATTTATTTCTCTTATTTAATTTATTGATAATGAATAATTGTTTTTGAATAAAGACATTGTACACACATAATTCTAAATTAAAGAAATGCATATGTATTATTTTTTGTTGTAGCTACTAAATTATTAATTAATTTAATAAGAGTAAAATAGAGTATTAATTATGCCAACTTTAATTTGATTGGGATGAGGTTCGAACCTGAGATTTTCTTGTTAAAATCAATGAGTAAGTTAACGGTGAACTAACAGAAAATATAATATTTAACGGAAAAGTTAACGGATAATCATATTCATTAAGGATAAATTAGGAAATCTCAAGAAAAAAATTACAATCTGATCAATCTGAGCCATTCATTTGATTAAAAAAATTGATCGCCATTTTTTCTACCCATTATAGGCCTAACTCTCTTGGGCTCTTATTAGTATACTAGTTTTTTTACGCGCTTTGCGCGAATGAGATAATGCCCAATAATTATTTTTAAATAAGTATTTCAAAGTATATCAATGCAATATTATATAGGAGATGTTCATGCATAGGTAAATAAATGTTGAATTTGTTTATTTAAATCGGTAATTTAAAGTATATAAATGCAAGGTAATATATAAGAGATTGATTATAATTGTCACTAAAATAAATGTTTGCAAGTTTGTAATAACGCTAGTTTAAATACTTAGTCTTAAAACGATAGTCTAAATAAATACTACTTTTGGTTTAAATTTCTCTAATTCTTCTTAATTCTCTTTTGGGTAGCATTGTTATTGCTTTCATCTTCAGTACATGTCCTTTTTTTTATTGGTAGTGTGTCATGTGCAATTAGGTTACTGGTAGCAGCATAGAGGGATTCATCATGCAATGAGATTATGGTGTAGAAAGTTTTAGATTTGTCTTGCTGTGTATATGACTGAGATTTTAGTTGTAATATGAACTCTTTAGCGTACAAACACCTATTGATATTTAGTAGTGGTAGTTTTTTCCCTACATGTTTCATGTGTTGTGAGATTTGTGTCGTAGGTTATCATGTGAAAGTATTGAACAAAATATTAATATTTATTATATTTGTATAAAATACTTGGTAAATAAATAAATAAATAGATAAATATATATATATATATATATATATATATATATATATATATATATATATATATATATATATATACATACATACATATAACATGTTTTGTATTATAACTTTGATATTTAATTACAAGATAATGTAAAAAAGAAGACAATGAACAATGTTGTGAATATAATAAATTAATAAATTTGAAAGTAAGGAATCTTTGAATGGTAGAAAATAAAGATAATATAACTAATGAAATTATATTTCTTTTAAGTTTTTTATAATGAATAATTTTTTTTAATAAATAAAGCATTATAGACATCTAGTTCTAAATTAATTAAATGCATATGTATTATTTTTTGTTGTAGCTACTAATTTATTTAATTAATAAGAGTAATAAAGTGTCGTACATACTTTTCTTCAACAATAATGAAATTCAGTGATTTTTTTTTTAAATTTTCATTCCTTGTTTAGACAAATTGTTTTAATTTGAAAGTTTGTCCATTACAATTGCTACAATTGCTGTTAATAGATGATGATAATAAATAAATCAAAATATATGGTTATAATAGATATTAATATAATGATATATTAAAAATTAACTTACAAATTTCTTTAGAAGTTTTCATTGATAAAATTTTGATGTGTAAACTTGTTCAAAATCAAAATAATATGAACCATTCATTTTAAGAAACAATTAGTACCGACATTTTTTTGTTCCAGTTAAGGGCCTAACATTATTCGCTCTTATTAAAATTGTATATATATATATATATATATATATATATATATATATATATATATATATATATATATATATATATATATATATATATAAACATAATAAGCTTCAATCCAGGTTATACCCCTGGTTTATGTTCATATTTTTCGTTAATTTTTTTTGTACCTTGTGTTATAAAAGTTATACTACATAATTTTTTGGACAAAAATATCCCTGCCGTTATAACTTCTGTTATCTTTCCACATTATTATTACCATGTACATGCATACACAATATTTTTTCTTACATCCTTCAATGGTAAGTTTGAAATCATTTAGGTTTTAATTAAAATGTTACCATAGTTATATTTAGTAAATTATCATTTCTATAATTCTTACCTCAATAATATTAATATGAAGGGAAAATGGCACTTTTTCCCCCTGTGTTATATACTTATAGCACTTTTTCCCCCTATATTATTTAAGTGGCAATTTTCCCCCCTGATATATTAAATGGACATATTTACCCTTAAAATAAATATTTCCTTTATTTTACTTCTCCAACAAATTATAACCACAATTTGAAAAAATAAAATACATTAATTGTTGAATTTAGAATACTTTAAAAATAAAAAAATAAAATTTTAAAATAATGTTTGAACCAACAGTTCAAATTGGATCCGAAATTGTGAAACAACGATTCAAAATAAAAACCAAATCGCGATTATATATACTTATATGTGAGAGTCAATATAAATGCGAAAAAAACATACACTATTTGCAAATATTATAATTCTAATTTTAAGCTATTGCTAGTAGTTGTTCCGATTTGAACCTCTGGTTCACGGTTCAGAATCTATTTTTTTCCACTTCACAATTTTAATAAACGGAAACCCAAATATTGGGTTATGTTATGAATCATAACCGAATTTTTTTTTTATTTGATTGCTATAGTGTTCGGTTCAGTTCGAACCGAACCGTGACCATCCCTACGTATAAACAATAATTTGTTGAACAAGAGAAATAAATAAAATATGTATTTAAGGGTAAAAATGTCTATTTAATATTATCAGGGGGAAAAATTGCCACTTTTATAATAATTGAGGGGGCAAATGTGGATGCATGAATAACTCAGGGGGAAAAAGTGCTATAAGCATATAACATAGGGGGAAAAAGTGCCATTTTCCCTAATATGAATTATACAATTATATATATATATATATATATATATATATATATATATATATATATATATATATATATATATATATATATATATATATATATATATATATATATATAAATTACCATAATAATTACACCGAAAAAAGGTAACAATACATAATTATTAGGCAATGATATTAATAATTAATTATTAAGACAAGTATAATTTATTTTGTACTAATAGTATTATATATATATATATTTTGTACTAATTATTAAGACAAGTATAATAATATTATTAGTACAAAATAAATTATACTTGTCTTAATAATTAATTATTAATATCATTGCCTAATAATTATGTATTGTTACCTTTTTTCGGTGTAATTATTATGGTAATTTATATATATATATATATATATATATATATATATATATATATATATACACACACACACACACACACACACACACACTTTTAATTTTATATTGATAACCATACTCTATGTATATACTTTAAGAAAATATTCATTATTAAAATGATGATATAATTTAAAAAGTAAATTATTAATTAGATTACCTAATATAATTGTCTTAATTTTCCTCAAAAAAAAATATATAATTGTCTTAATAATGGATTCCATGTTAATATGTATAATTCATATATTTGAAAACTTTTTATAGCTAAATACCTATTAATTGTCTTACTAATTAAAATAATTGTTAGTCAATCAATATTCAATAGTACTAAAAGTATTATTTCAAATTTTTATACATAAGATATAATATTATTAAACTGAAATAATTAAAAATAATGTGTCCATATTACAAAAGATTTTATAATAGTTATTTTTATTGCCTAATAGAATATGTCAATTATTAAACATTGTTTATGGTAATTATTGTATGACATTTAATACTAAAATTATTATGTAGATTTTTTATAATTAAGGTATAATATTATTAAATCAAAATTAATAAAAATAATGTATCCACAATATAAAATAAATTATACTTATCTTAATAATCGTTTTTTTTAGAATACTACTAACTCTATTACATTGTATTAATAAAAATTTACAGTAATCATTTATTAATATAAATTTACAATTATAAATTTTTATAAGGAAAACATAGAAACTTCTCA